GAGAGGCAGACTCCCCGCTGAGCAGGGAGCCCGATGCAGGACTCGATCCCAGGACCCCGAGATCATGACCTGAGCCAAAGGCAGACGCTTAACCAACTGAGCCACCCAGGCGCCCCATCTATCTAGCAATCTTGATGTGCTGTCCTGTTAATACTAATTGTTTGTGGCTCTGTTGGATTTTCAATATAGACAATCCTATTTATGACGGCTCCAGTTCTTTTAAATTCTTATACCTTTTACTTATTCTTATCTCACTGCATTGCTGTGCCCTTTGCTCTCCAGTGTGGTGTTAGAGACACAGGGACTGTGAGCGTTTTGTCTTGTTCCTCCCTTTATCAATCACTGTGATGTTTGGTGTAGCTATTCAGTAGTTTTTCCCATGAGGTTAAGGAAGTTCCTGTATATATCTAACTTCCTAAGGATTTTTTTTTTCCGTGATGTGAATTGAAATTTTCTGTGTGCCAAAGAAGGTTTAAAACAGCGAAAGGAAAACCAACAAATCATTGAAGTAGTAGTTAGTAAAAAAAATTATTGTATACACACCAAAAAGACAGTTTGCAAACTGGGAACATTCAGACCAGACTGTGGGATGAGGCTCAGGGGTGTATTTATGATCAAGCTTCATAGTGAGAAAGCCGTGAGGATTTATTTTTCAGGGACTGGTCACAGTATTACAATTTTCTGTGGTTCCCTCTTATCAGCCTTGAGAAACAGTTCAAAGCTTGCTTATTCTTTCCAGAGACACAAGCAAGAGATAATCCAGGTCAAGTTAGCCTTGTAAAATAAACCGAATTCAGCTTTGTTCGTATGACTGACCTGGTTTTGTCTGCTCAGGGAATTTGCAAGGTTGGTCTCCATTTCTGATTTTAACAGCATCTGTGGAAATAAATGTACAATTTTTCTCCTTTAATATCTTAATATGATTTCCTAGTATTACATAGTTCCTGCTAGATTATCTTGTATTTTGTGAACACTGTTAGATTTGGTTACTATGATTTCTGATTTTCACATCTATATGAATGAATGAAATGAGCTTACAGTATATATACTCTGCTTGGTTTTGCTTGTTTTTAAACCATACAGACCATGTATCTGACTTCTTTTGCTCAAGGTTATATTATAAGATTCACTCATACTGTTATATGTAGCTACATGTGGTTGGTTTGTTTTTGTTGCTACACAGCATCAAGGGTAAACAAAGCCAGGCTGTGGTTAAAGTGGTAAGGACACTACTAGGTATTTATCCAAAGGATACAAACATAGTGATTCAAAGGGGCACATGCATCCCAATGTTTATAGCAACAATGTCCACAATAGCCAAACTATGGAAAGAGCTCAGATGTCTGTCGACAGACGAATGGATAAAGAAGATGTGGTGTATATACAATGGAATACTACTCAGCCATCAAAAAGAATGAAATCTTGCCATTTGCAATGATGTGGATGGAACTAGAGGATATTGTGCTAAGCAAAATAGTCGGAGAAAGACAAATACAATGATTTCACTTGTATGTGGAATTTAAGAAACAAAACAGATGAACATAGGGGAAGGGAGGGAAAATAAGATGAAATCGGAGAGGGAGACAAACCGCAAGAGACTCTTAACTCTAAGAAACAAACTGAGGGTTGCTGGAGGGGAGAGAGGTGGGGGCATGGGGTAAGTGGATGATGGGCATTAAGGAGGGCACTTGATGTGATGGGCAGTGGGTGTTCTATGCAACTGATGAATCCCTAAACTCCATCTCTGAAACTAATAATACACTATATGTTAATTGACTTTTAAATAATAAATAGAAAGTGGTAGGGGAGATTTTAATCAGTAACATACTGTTGCAATAGGAAAGAGTCCAGCATGAACCGCACTCTGCTTTGGTTTGTACAGAGGTGACTGGCTAATTTAAGGGAGAGTGAAGGAGGGGGGAAGGAGGGAGTAAGGCTCGGGGGGCTGGGCGAATGAACAATTACAGGAAGGGTAGGGGATGTGGTCTGTGTGAGACCCATCTGGGGTTGCTAACTGGCACTTATTAAAGTTAGGCTCCTACCCTTCCCGGGAGACTGGGAGGCAGGGATCCTGTCTTCAGGTGTTGGCTGGGACAAACAAAGTTCTTTTGACAGCCTTGAGTTTTTTCAGGCAGGCACTTTAAGGGGAGCTGGGGTCAGCCTCAGCCTATGGCCTTTAGCTATTTCTAAAGATGTCTTAAAGGTATCTTCAGATGTCTGAAGTTTTTGTTACTGTTTTTTTCACCCTTTGAAAAACTCTGGATACAAGTCTTGTTACTTGTATTGCAGATTTTTTTCTCACTCTGTGCCTTGCCTTTTCACCTTTTTTTTTTTTTTAAGATTTTATTATTTTATTTTATTTTTTATTTTTTAAAGATTTTATTTACTTATTTGATAGAGAGATGGAGAGCCAGAGAGCATAAGCAGGGGGAGTGGCAGAGGGAGAAGGAAAAGCAGGCTCCCCGCTGAACAGGGAGCCTGAGGCGGGGATCGATCTCAGGACCCTGGGATCATGACCTGAGCGGAAGGCAAATGCTTAACTGACTGAGCCACCCAGGTGCCCCAAAGATTTTATTTGAGAGAAAGAGAGAGAGCGCGCGCGGGAGCATGAGCAGGAGGAGGAGCAGAGGGAGAGGGACAGACTCCCCACTCAGTGGGGATTCTGACTTGGGACTGGATCCCAGGACCCTGAGGTCATGACCAGAGCTAAAGTCAGATGCTTAACTGACTGAGCCACCTAGACACCCCTACCCTTTCACCTTCTTAATGTTGTATTTTAACGAGAAAAGGTAGACGTTCTTAATTTTTTAATTAACATATAATGTGTTATTTGTTTCAGGGGTACAGATCCGTGATTCAACAGTCTTGCACAATTCACAGCGCTCACCATAGCACATACCCTCCCCAATGTCCATCACCCAGCCACCCGATCCCTCCCACCCCCCCCCCACCCCAGCAACCCTCAGTTTGTTTTCTGAGATTGAGTCTCTTACAGTTTGTCTCCCTCTCTGGTTTTAGACGTTCTTAATTTTAATAGGATTAGGTTTGCCCGTATTTTCTTTTTTGGTTAGTGCTTTCTTATGTCTTTTTAAAAAAGAAATAGACTTTATTTTTTAGAGCAGTTTTAGGTTCATAGCAAAATTGAGCAGAAAGTACAGAGATTTCCTAAGTCCCTCTGTCCCCCCACAAAAGCATTGCCTCTCAGACTATGCTCAGCCCCCATCAGAGTGGCATTTTTGTTACAGTTGATGAAACTAATTTAATACCTTGGTATCACCTGAAGCCCAGAGTTTACAGTAGGGGTAGTGGTGTACGTTCTCTGGGTTTTGACAAATTTATAGTGACATGTGTCCATCATGACAGTATCATACAGGATAGTTTCACTGCCCTAAAAATCCTGAGTGCTCTGCGTATTCATCCCTCCTTCCCCACTAACCCCTGGCAACCACTAATCTTTTTACTGTCTGTACAGTTTTGTGTATTCAGGAATGTCCTATTGTTGGAACCGTATGGTAGGTAGACTAAAATTGGCTTCTTTCACTTATATTAACTCTCCTCCATGTCTTTTCCTGGCTTGATAGCTGTGTGTGTGTGTGCGTGTGTGTGTGTGCGTGTGTGTGCGTGCGTGTGTGTGCGTGCGTGTGTGTGCGTGCGTGTGCATGCGCATGCACGCACGCGTGCTCAATACTCTTCCATTGTCTGGATGTGCTGCGGTTTATCCATTCACTTATTTAAGGACATCTTCGTTGCTTTGAATTTTTGGCAGTTATGAAAAAAGCTGCTATAAACATTTGTGGTCATAGATTTTCAGTAATTCGGGTAAATACCAAGGAGCAAGATTACTGATAAGAGTATGTTTAGTTTTGTTAGAAACTGCCCAACTATCTACCAAAGTGACTACCATTCTGTGTTCCCACTAGCAATGAATGAGAATTCCTGTTGCTCCACATCCTCACCAGCATTTGGTGTTGACCGTGTTTTGGATTTTTGACGTTCGAATAGGCTTGTAGGGGTCTTGTATTTGTCGTTTCAATTTGCATTTCTTTGATGACATGACATGGAGCATCTTTTCCTGTGCTTGTTTGCCACCCGTATCTTCTTGGGTGTGCTGTGTCTGTTCATATCTTTTGCCCATTTTTAAATCAGGTTGTTTGTTTTCTTGTTGAATTTAAGAAGGATGTCTTGGGGGTGCCCGGCTGGCTCAGTCAGTGGAGCATGTGACTCTTGATCTCGGGGTTATGAGGTTGAGCCCCATGTTGGGTGTAGAAATTACTTAAAAAATAAAATCTTAAAAAACAATGATGTTTTGGATAACATCCCTTTTTAGGATTTATGGATAAGGCTCTCTGTTCCTGTTCACATTTCTCCCAACTTTGAGGACATCAGTCATACCGTGTGCCCTAGCAGGGGCATTAGAACCTCAGTTCTTGGGTTTGAGTCTGAATTTGGGTCTAAAGTTCCATGAGGCATTTAGTATGAGCTCACTCTGGCTTTGATTTCTCCCCTCCCCACTTTTTTGGACCTCAGAGAAAACTTCCCTTAAATCAAAGATACAAAGATTCCCTATCCCTTAAGGGGATGTGTGGGAATGGGTATGATGGGGCAGGAGAGCCATGTGGCAGCTTAGAACAGTGGGACTATACGCCTTGAGTTTTATTTTTTCTTATTTTTTCAAGATTTATTTATTTGAGAAAGAGCATGTGCTAGTGGAGGGGGGCAGGGGGAGAGGGAAAGAGAGAATCCCAAGCAGACACCCCGCTGAGTGTGGAGCTTGACACAGGCTTCATCTCACGACCCTGAGGTTATGACCTGAGCCAAAACTGAGAGTCGGACGCTTCACCGACCGAGCCACCCAGGTACCCCACATGCCTTGTTTTAAACTGACAATTAATATCACCCAACTGCCAAACAAACATATGTTGAGGATGGTGCAAGTATTCCAAGTAGTTTGATCGTATGTTCCTTTGCAAATACGGTTATTAAATACTTTTCCTTTCTAGATGTGCGTTCCAAACGGGAGTATGACGAAAGCCATGTGATTACAGCCCGTCGAGTGAAGAAGGTAGAGTGGCAGAATCCGAATGTGGGGCAGGCTGGCCACCTTACAGGAGGGTGGGGGGAAATGGGGGATTTTATCCTAGATCCAGAAGGTGGCAGGGTGGGGGACACTGAGCAGCAGAGGCAGGACCACCCCTGTGCATTCACCAGGAGGGTCTCCCACACCCCTCACATGCTCCCTACGGTGTCCCCACCCCCCATCATGGCCAACAGCTTCACTGAGCAAACGCTGATTTAATTTCTTGATGGGCCAGGCACTGTTCCAGACCTTGGGGGATACAACCGAATACAAGATGCCCTCGGCTCACTGTCTTCTGTCCTACTCAGGGAACAGACAATAATAAACCATCAAGATAATTACTATAATCCAGCTTGACTCAGACTCAAGGGCAAGCAACTCTTGATCTAGGGGTTGCAGGTCTGAGCCCCATTCTGGGTGTAGAGATTACTTAAATAAATAAACTAACAAAAAACTATAATTCAAAGATGGAAGCCACTTTGCTTCCCTTCCTATTTCCCTGCTCCTCCCCCATTCCATCTTTTTAAAAAAAAATTATTTACTTGAGAGAGAGCGCGCAAGCACACAAGCAGGGGGAGGGGCAGAGGGAGAGGGAGAAGCAGACTCCCCGATGAGCAGGGAGCCCAACGCGGGGCTCCATCCCAGGACCTTGGGATCATGACCTGAGCCGAAGGCAGACGCTTAACTGACTGAGCCACCCAGGTGCCCCTTATTCCACCTTTTTAAAAAGACTGAGCCCTGCAGGCAGTCACCATGCCCCCCTCCTGCACTGAGGCCTCTTTCTCCACCCCCACAGGATATCTTCTCTGTCAGGTCATCGCCAAGCCTGGCAGCCTCCGCTCAGGATCCCAACCTCATTCTCCGCCCTCTTCTCCCAAGGTCTGTCTTCCCCGGTTTCTCCTCTGTGCCCTTGGTTCAGCTTCCTTTTCTCCTGCTGCTGCCTGAAGAAAATCACTGCTTCATCCTTGCTCTAGATCTGTCAGTGTACCTTCTTGCTCAGAGATTTCACTCAGGCTTCCAGTGTCAGCTGTCCAACTGCAATTAGCTGTCCTGTCAGTTTTTTACTTCTAAAGTTTTGTCTGGCAACACTGACCCCTTCCCCTCCCACTGCCGCTGTGCTGGGATGCACTCCCTCTCTGGCCCTTTGCCATGCTGAACTTGACAGGGAGCCTGGGCCCTGGCTCAGGCATTTTTCCAAGATAAGCTTGCTGCTTGGGGGGTATAGCTCAGTGGTTAGAGCATTTGATTGCAGGATAAGCTCGCTGCCTAACACCCCCCTCTCCCCACCCCCAAACCCATCATTACCTGCTTCTCCCCGCCCCACTTCTGGGGTTTTCAGTTGGCTGGCTTCAACCTCTAGTTTCTGGCTCTACTCTCATATCTGCATATTCTTTTGATTCTGGCAGCACCCCCAGCTCTGGAAGAGACATTCTTTGGGCCTCAGCCAGGCTGACACCTCTTGGCTCCCCTCCCCAACTTCCCTGCCAACAGCCCCAGCACGGCCCCAGCAGGACACACAGCCCCCAACTGGGTGCTCCTGGCCTCCCTCTCCAGCATGCATGCTTCCTTTTTTTTTTTTTTTTTTTTTAAGATTTTATTTATTTGAGAGAGACAGACAGAGAGAGTACAAGCAAGGGGAGGGGCAGAGGGAGAAGTAGACTCCTGGCTGAGCAGGGGGCTCGACGTGGAGCTCCATCCCAGGACCCTGAGATCATGACCTGAGCCGAAGGCAGATGCTTAAGTGACTGAGCCACCTGGGTGCCCCGGGCATGCAAACTTCCATTCTCATCTGGCACCTCAACAGTACTGCCCTACTGCGTTTCCTTGGTTCTAAGATGCACATATCCACCCCCCCCATATTCAAACATTTCTGAAATTGCAATATATCCTACAATAGGTGTGTACTTTATTATTATTTTTTTTAAGATTTTATTCAAGAGAAGGAGTGAGGGAGAGAGCAGCAGTGGGAACGGGAGGGGGGGGAAAGGGAGGCAGAAGCAGACTCCCCCACTGAGCAGGGAGCCCGATGTGATGCATGGGCTTGATCCTGGGACCCCAGGATCATGACCTGAGCTGGAGGCAGATGCTTAACCGAGTGAGCCACCCAGGCGCCCCGACCAATTCTCTCAATCTAGGACAGAGTACCTGTGCACACCTCCACCCCTCCCACCCCCCCCACCCCCCGCTCCACGCCAGTGCGCTGCTCTCTCAGGCCTCCAGACCTTTTGCTGGGAGCACAGGGATGCATGTGCCTTGCTCATCACCGTATCCCGGAGGCTCCCTCTGGTCCTTGAGGCATCTGGGATGGGCTCAGCACGTTTATTGACTAAAGTGAACGATCGGAAGCTGTTCCTTCTGCCTGGAACGTTCTCCCCACTCTTGTCTGTCTGGCAGATTTCCCCTTACCCTTGCCGCCCCAGCCTCCCACTCTGTACAACCTTTCTGAGTCTTCTGGGCCAACTCGGGGTGTTTGCCTGCGCTGCTTTGAACCTCTGTATTCCAGAACCTCACACGGCGTAAGCATAGGGTGGACCCTCAACGTATACTCATTGAGCAAACAAGTCAATGTCCAGCCACATCTGTCCTGCCCTCCCACTTGCTCCACGTCTCCACTCCCTTCGCCTTTGCTCATGTTCGTCTCCACACCCAGAAACCCCCCTTCCCTCATTATCCGTGCAAACCCTGCTCGTCCTGAACACCGCCTCTCTCCTAGTTCCTCCAGACAAATGGGATTCCTCCCTGCTCAGTCCCAGAGAACTTTCTGGTTTGTCCCTCCACAGGCCTTGCTTGACTGCCTTGTAGCAGAATCGATATAAACTCGCCCTACCCCTACCTGCAGGTCCTCTGTGGGGCCATCTCTGTCAGCCAGACAAGGTTGCAAGGGACAGAGTCAGGCTCGGGATCCCCTTAGTAGTGGGGGCCTTCGGGAAGCATGTAAACGCGTGAAGACTGACCTCTCAGCTGCCACCCAGCCAGGCCTCCTCGAGCTCTGGGACACCCTTTGGGGTCCTGGGCATTGTTCCTGCCCCCGTGGTCCGCCTTCCTGGCAACTCAGCAGCTCCTGGCTACTCATGACCGTCCTGGTTTCTGCTTGCCCTTTCCTCCCTCTGACCGTATTTATAGCCACATGCCAGGTACTGTTCTAGAAGCTCAGAGTACATCAACAACTACAAAAGAACAAAAGTTCCCGCTCTCAACAGAGCCTACAGGTGAGTCTGCCGCATTATATCTGCTCGCTCGTGATTTCTGCTTATCTAAGCCTTCTGCTTATTGCCCTTCTTATGGCAGCTTTTGGATTTGGCCTCCGTCACCAACTACCTTCCCCTAGAGAGAGGGTGTCCTCACTTCGGTTGCTCTGAGAACATGCATGCCAGGCCCCCTAGTGGGCCGCGGGCTGCTCGGTAGACCAGCTCTTGGGTGAGGACACCGTCTCTGGTCCGGTCAGCTCTGGCCAGCTTTGTCCATAGCAGGTCATGTGGGCGTGGAAGGTGCTCGGCGTCCAGCACACTCTCCGGCCCCTTCTCGGTGCTTCCGGGCCTGTGTGTGTAGTCAGGGGAATGGGCACGGTCCTCCCTCCAGCTGCAGCCAGGGCTGGAGTGCGGGGAGTATGTGCCCAGCCGAACCACCCGCCAACAGACCTCTCCTGTGGTTTCTTTAGAGGGCAAATGAGTATCTTCTCCCGGAGTCTGTGGATCTGGAGTGCGTGAAATACTGTGTGGTGTATGATAACAACACCAGCACCCTGGAGATCGCCTTAGGAGGGGAGGACAGGGACAGCACCGAGGACAGGAGACACGGTAGGTTTTGAGGAGCGCGGCCGGAACAGCAGCTGGTGGTGATGGAGCCCTTTCGCAGTACGCCGGGAACCACACCGAAGGTGCTCCCTGGGTCAGCTCCCGCAGAACACGCCCTGGAGAAATGGGTTATGCCAAGAGCAGGGGAGGGGCTGAGATGTTTCCTTCCTTGCAAAATGCCAGGTGAGCCTGCCACAGCCTCGTGGGTGCTGGCAGAGGACGTGAGGCTCCCGGGTCAGAGCAGTGAAAGTAGCCAGACTGTCCTCCTCTCCTTGCCCTGGTGCCCGAGCCCCCATTCTCACAGGGTGACAGGGAAGAGGGCCAAGAAAAACCTACCCACACTGTGGGTTGTATTACAGGAGAACCCTGAGCTCGGGGGACCGAATCTTCTTTCTTTTTTTAAAAAAGACTTTGAGAGAAAGCATGAGCACAAACGGGGAGAGGCAGAGGGACAAGCAGACTTCCTGCTGAGCGCAGATGCGATGTGGGGCTCGATCCCAAGACCCCAAGATCATGACCTGAGCCGAAGGCAGATGCTTAGCCAACTGAGCCACCCAGGTGCTCCCAGGGCCTGAATTTTTTATAATGGGCAGAAAGCCTTCCCGCCCCTAGCTCTAGAGGGAGAAACGATCTATCCTCCGAGGCTGTTTGATATACAGATACTCTGGAAAAGCCAATACCTTTGCTCACAGGACACGTAGAAACCTGAGAGGCCATGGAGAATGGTCTCTAATAGGTAACATCCCCATTTTATAGATGCGGAGATTGAGGCCAAGAAAGGTGCATGCAGTAACTCACTCAAGGTCTCACACGTGTTGAGTTAGTTAGTCATTGCCATATAATGAATTGCCCCCAAACTCAGTAACCTAATACAGCAAATATTAACTGGTACCAGGTTCTGGTATGGCGTGTCTGCTGAGATTGCAGTCGAGGTGCTGTCTAGGGTCCCTGTCATTTGAAGGTCTGACTGGGCTGGGATGATCTGCATCCGAGGGGCCTCACATGGGTATGGCCAGGAGGCCTCCATTCCCTTCCACCTGGATCTCTCTGTAGGACCGCTTGGATGGCCTCACGACACGGCAGCTGGTTTCCCCTGGAGCGGGCCATCTAGGAGAGCGGGAGAGCAAGGGACAGCCACATGCCTCTTGCAACTGAGTCCTGAGACTTCTGGTCATTTCTGCCCCATTCTGTTCATTAGAAAAAAGTCACTAAGTGCAATCTACCCTGAAGGGGTGGGGAATCAGACTCAACCTCCCTTTATATTCTTTCAAATATTCTTTCTTGTATTTGAAAGAATTTGTGGACTGTTTTTGAAACCACCACACCTAGTAAGTGCTGGGTTTGGGATTCGAACCCCGGGCAGGTTGGCTCTGTCTGGTCTCCTCCCAAGGCCTGGATAGCAGAGCAGGAGAGCAAAGCAAAGTTGCTCCAGTCCCAAACCGGAGCGTTAAATCGTGGTGGGCTCTACTCTTCTCTGTGTTCTGAGGCACCCCTACATTCTCCACGCAGCCCCTGGTTTGGGGCTGACAACCCCTTCCCTTTGGCCTAGGGGCTCTGCGGCTTGTGGCTCAGCCATGAACCTGTGGGGGTTTCCATGGGCCCAGGCGCTCACAGCAGCGGTCACTGGGTGGCGCTAGGCTTCCACCTTTAATACCAGTCTTCCCAGGCGGTCCTTCACCAGGATATTGTGCCCTCTTCCCCAAGTTTATCGGGTTGGTGCCAGTCTGCAGTCCTAGGATTGTAGGCTGGACCCTAAAACCATAGCAAATGGTGGCCAATAAAGATAACCCCCTCTATGTTCTATAAATGACCTCATGGAGCCCCCATTCTCAGTAGGAAACCACAACAGCAAAACAACACAGCAAAACCCCAAACTGCATGCACGTGTACGTACATACACTCGCACATTCGCACGTTGTCCACTCAAGGCACTTTTCTCCTTTAAAATGGCATCTTTCAGGTGAATGCAGAGTCTCTGGGGTAAAAGACCATTTCGAGGTTTCTCTCCCCATCCCCTTTCTACTGTTAAGCACCCACCTCCCCACCCCCCAAGGGAATCTGGTCATGGGTGGAGCCTCCATCACCTCCTAGAAGCAGGGGTCCGACTCTGTGTGGTCCTCTCTTGCTGGCCTTGGGCCACGGGCCTCTGTCCTTGCTGTGTCTGTGGCTGAAATGTCCCCGTCTAGGGTGAGTCAGGAGGGGTTCCCTCCCCTTAGCACTGTGACCTCCTTCCCAGGTGTTCCACAGGTGCTGCTGGTCCCTGGGCTATGGCGGCTTCTCTCCTCTCCTGCCCTGCTGGGGGGGCTGTCTCAGGATTCCTAGTGGGAAGCGGGGCACAGGTGCTTTTTAGCACGCCTGCCCCTGCAAACATGGTGTTTTTACCTTCTCAGCTGGGTCTCTTCTTAGGAACCTGGAGAGTACCTTCCCTTGTCTTGGCCCATGGGGCTCTTTCTCTAAACTCCTTTTACCAGGCAAAGGGCAGCTCCCTTCTGGGAGGAGAGACCTTTCCCTTACGTTAAATCGGCCTGCCTGCCTTGCAACATATGAATTAGAGACCCTTCAAATGGGGCTCTTGATAGGTGTGGGTGGAGTTCCCTGGGCTGGGGCATTCAACACAACTGTGAGGGGAAGCTTTGGGAACGTGGGCATTTTTTCCCCCCTCCTCTCTGAACAAAGCCTGACTTTCAAGCCAGTTGCCTGGCTAAGGACCCAAAGTAATTTAACTTAAAACTCTCTGCTGAGCGGAGAGCCCGTTGGCCTGGATGGGGTCTCTCATCCTCCTGAAGCAGTGGGTGCCCCAATTCAGAGTGTGCGAAGCCTCGTATCATTGGTGAATTCCCGATTAATGGGATTAAAAATAAATTTAATGTTAATAACCCCATCATAGCTGGGTAGCCTGGGCTCCGGACTGTCGTCCTGGCTTTCCTCTGAAATCTCTAATTATTCTCCTGGAAACTGGGCTTTCTCCGGCACTGACCCCATGGCACACCAGTGAATAAGCCTCCAGGGGGTCATGTGACATTGGTGGGAGAGCGGCTGTCTGGCTTAAAGGCAGCAGCAGTGTGTCCTGGGACTCCGCTCTCCTGAACCCTCTGACCCCTGAGCCATTATTCAGTCACTTGCTCAAGAGGAAGACGGTGTTCAGACACCGGGGACTCTGGCTTCTAAGCCAGGCCTTCTATGATAGGGTTTGGCTCCTGTCTCTCGCCCGCCACAGTTTCTCTCCTGGCCTGGCTGCTGACCCCAAGGCTCTTTCTCCAGATCCAGTCCTCCAGACACGGGTCTCAGGCCCCTGTTGTCCTCAGCAGCCCCTGCTGGAACCGGCTTTCTCTGGCCAAAGGTTCAATATAGAAGTCAGAGTCAGAGTCCCAGCCTTAACCTTTCCCCTTTTAGCTGGTTCTCCAGAGTCTGCAGGGAGGTATTTGTCTTTAGGGCTCAGATCGAGGCCTCGGGGGCGGGGGAGGGGGCGGTATCTTGGCTTAGCCTTAATTGTGCAAACTTGCTGATAGATATCTAATTTTCATAGAGTCTCCTAGTGATTCTGCAGAGCAGTGAAGGCTGTTAGTATCTGACCAATACTAACACGTGTCGATGAGGATGTGGAGAAATTGGAACACTCTGCCTGGGTGTTTGAAGGGAAAGGAGTGAAACCTAGCCCGTACAGGGTTTCTTTTTCGGGTGATGGTTGCACAACTCTGTGAATATACTGAAAACCATGACTTTACCCACCTTAGGTGAATGGTTTGGTATATGATACGTGATGTATATATGCGAGAGACCTTTCCCTTCTGTTAAATCCTCTTTCCTTGCAATAATGTGGAGATCTATATCATCTAAGAATTTACAGAAAAGAAGGATCCACTTACTTGGTAACAAGTGGCTTAAATTTGAGTTGTTAACACTCCCCTCCATTTAGATTTCCTTCAGGTTCCCAGACCGTTGCTTTTCCAAATCGAGTGGCCGTCAACCGGAGCTTTAGGCAAACGATGAGCACACGGGGGCTGTTCACCTCTTTGGTCTCTGCTCTTAGAACTGGTGCCTGGAGCTGCCGTGGAGTGTGGCAGGGCGCTGGCCCACCTCACCCACCACCCCATCTGCATCCTGAAAGGAGGCTATGAACGCTTCTCGGCCACGTACCACTTCCTCCGGACACAGAAGATCATCTGGATGCCACAGGTGAGGCAGGGTACTGAGCCCAGGCAGGCTCGGATGGAAGCATGGTCTCCCCCTGGTTGACCAAGGGATTGGGAGCAGGATAGGGGAAAGAGGAGGTGGGCCACGTGGGAATGACGGAAGGGATGGAGACTGTGCTCGGGAAACGGACCTGGGGCAGCCAGGAGGTCCAGGCCACGAAGGTGAATTTCTCATCGCTGGATTCAGGCCAGAGTCAGCACAGTGGTGAAGAGGTGGGGCCCGTCCAGAGGGCAGGGGTCCCAGGGGGAGCTCTGGATGGCAGGCTGTCATCAAAGATAGGCAGAGGCGCCACAATTTGAGGCTGCCTGTCCGTTCTCAGCTGTCTAGACCCACAAGCCCAGAGGACACAAAAAGGACAAGCTAGCATCCTGCCTGTGAGGAGTTCTTGGCTAGCGGGAGAGACAAGGGCCACCCCAGGTGAGGTGAGGCCCCTCCTGGAGCCAGACCAGAAGGAGGAGGAGGAACTTGCGAGGAAGAGAGGTGGGTGGAGGGTGGCTGAGGCAGGCACGGGGTGGCCATGGGGTGGCCATGACCGACAGGCAGGGGCTGGTCCCTGGAGGGCATCATGCAGCAGGGGGCTTACTGAAGAGTCTGAATGCAGTGGGATGTAGACATGCAGGGGCTTCATTCTTTCTACTAATTACCTTTGGCTCTTTGCCCTTAGCAGCATCTTGGGCACATTCCAGAAATTCTGACTACTTTTAAGCTAATCATAAAATGATGGGGGAAATGTGTGTATCAACTGGATCTTTCAGAGATACAGAATGAAATATTTATGGGGTAAAACAATATGACATCTGGCATTTCAGAATAGTCTGGGGTGTGTTGGGAAGTGGGTGAGGATAGAGCTGAAATAAACTGACCATTAGTTGATGATGTTTGCAAATGGGTGATCAACCCAGGCGTTTATTATACTATTCTCTCTCCTTTTGCATATTTTTAAAATAATTTCTTAAAAGCGAAGAAAAGCGATCAGGCCAGTACAAGTGAGGCTAGTGTAACCTTCCAATCTTAGATCTGAATTAAGTCTCATCTATTCTAATCTCCCAGAGCTGGGCAGTCTTCAGTTTGCTGGGGTGGGAGTAGCCAGGGGTGTGGGTTGGCTGCAGGGACCTCTCCTCCTCTCTCCCTTGCTCCTGGGCCTGTGACTTCGGTGCTGGGGGTTCAAGGTGGGGCCTGTCTTGTGGGACTGGCTGCCCGTCAGTGGTGGGGCCAGGCCTTCTCACTCTGTTCCAGCCCGGTTCTGTATGTTGCTGGTGGCCTTAGCTGCTGGTTTCCTTGGGGCCCGGTTTAGGGGCCCCATCCGCTACTAAGAATCTTCCAAAGAAAACCATCTGAGACTTCCTCCCAGGAGCACCCCCAATTCCTTGTTTTACTTTGGCATTCCATGACTCCCTGACTACATCTGCACTCCTTCACACTATGATTTTCAGCTCCACTGGTGTCCCCCCAGTCTCCCCGTCCTGCCAGGCACTGCTCACTCCTAGAGGAGCACCCCTTACTGGCTTTTCCTTGTGCAAAATAAGTATTTCTCTGCAAACCTCACCCTGCTGATAACTCACTTCCTTCCCTTTGGAAAACAAGCTTTAGTAAGGTTCAGTAACCTGTAAGTAAGTTCATCAGGAGGAACAGCACGTATTTAAATGTACATTTTGGTTAGTGTTGGCATGTGTACACACCTGAGACTTGCCCTCGCCCCATCTTAGGTAGATTGGGAAGAGGGGTGCGTGGTGGCTGGTGGTGGCAGCTAGCAGGGTTCTGCCCTAGGTGTCTGTGGCCCTCCTTAGAGTGTAGGCACCTAGTATTTGTCGCTCCCTGCTTTGGGGCTTTTCTTAGTAGTTCAGGGGCACGAGTGAAAGCCCCACTCCCCTCCTGCTATGTGTTCTGAGACACTGGAAAACAGGGGTGTCCCTGCTGCTCCCCAAGGAACTCCTTCTAGGAGGGCAGGTGGCGGCGCTGAACGTGACCTTTAGACAGAGCGACTTCTCATTTCCTCTGCTTTAAACGTGGCCTCCCTTAAATGAGATTTTCCTTGGAGCAAAAGGTTCGGGGACCAAAACGTGAAGCCCACACCAGAGAGAGATGATGGTGAGCCCCGGGGTGCCTGGTGCTGTCAGATTGCACTTGAGAAAGTTCACCAGTGATCGTGGTGTGGAAAGCAGACCCGTGGGGGCTGCCAGGGGGGTCTGGGGAAGGCGGAAGGCCGCCATGGTGAGGAGAGGACAGATTCAGGAAACACTTGGGTATTGGCGCTGATTAGACACAGGGAGGGGTGGGGGGTGAGGGCGGGACATGCGGGGAGGGAGGAGCCTGGAATTAGTACCCTGGTTCCCTGTGTGGGTGACAGGTGGGGGACACGGGAGGCAGAGGCAGCGTGGGGGAGGGCAGCGGGCTCAGTTTGGACATCCTTATGGATGTGGGTGTCAAAATCATGGCATCTAGAATTAACATGCGCTTGCTCTTACCAGCCTGGTGTGTTTTTCCCTGCCACACAGCCATAGGAAAGGAAGCTGGTTTGAAAGCAGCAGGAAGAGTTGATAGATCTGTGTCGGGTGTTCAGTGAGATTTTCCGGATGAAACTAGGAGGGTGTCCTTTGGCTCCAGCAAGCTGAGCATCCTGGGTGTGGTTAGCCCGAGCTCTGGGGAAGCTTTGGATCCTATCGAGCAGGCCTGTCTGCAGGTAGAGGGGTCCTGCGTCCCTTTCGCACACTTGAGCATCGGCTCAGCTTGCTGTCTGCTCTTTGAGAAAGGCTTTTTGAGGCTGACAGCTTGGGAAGGATGTAGGCTTGCAGTGGGCTCACTGGGAGGGGTTAAGGCTAAGGCCAGAAGGCTCTGAAGCCTCTGGACAGCCAAAGTAGCCTGCAGTGCTTATTTCTGAGTCCGACTTGGAGCCAGAGGAATTTTGGAACTAGGTTTGACCTTTGAAATTACATAGGTCAGCATTTCCCGTGGAACACTCGCACAAGAAAGGGACCTCCAAACAGATCATATTGGAAACAACAGTTTATACAACGTGAGTGTGGTTTTTGTTTGTTTTCTTGAGGCTATGCTTAGCTTTTGTACTAAATATCACGAGTGATTTTCAGCCCATGCCAGTAATAAACAAGTAGCCACTGTGTTATGATAAACATCTGGGCTACAAAGTCAGCCCGAGGAACCAGTAGGAAGGTTTTTAGCAGTTCCTCGGAGGTACGCTTTGAGAATAGTCTTAGCCTGCCATGCTTTACTGGCTGTTTCCCAACTAGTTTGTAAATTATTATTTGATGACAATTTTTTCTAACCACCTGGTTGACACTCATAATCTTTCCTTGGAACAATCAGATTTTGTAAATTTTCCCCTTCAGTTTTATTGAGATATAATTGACATATAACATATATAAGTTTAAGGTGTACAGTGTGTTGACTTGATACATCTAGAGTATATTGTGAAATGATCACCAAATAGGTGATCGAACCTATCCATCACCTCACCTAATTACCATTTTTTGTGTGTGGTGGTAAGAACATTTAAGATCTACTCTCCCCACAACTTTCAAGTATATAACACAGTATTAACTAAAGTCCCCATGAACTTGTGCCTCTTTATGTCTGGAAGTTTGTATCCTTTTGATGAACATCTCCCATTTCCCCCACTCCCCAGCCCCTGGCAACCACTGTTCTACTCTCTGTTTCTATGAATTTGGCCTTTTCAGACTCCACATATAAGTGAGATCATGCAGTAGTTGTCTTTCTCTGTCTGACTTACGGGCATGTCCTGAAAATATTGTGGATCTGGTTCCAGACCACTACAATAAAGCAAATATTGTAATAAAGCAAGGCAAATGAACTTTTTGCTGTGTATAAAAGTTACATTTAGACTATACTGTAGTGTGTTAAGTGGGCAATAGCATTACGTCTAAAAAAAATAGACATACCCCCCCTTTTCTTTTAAGATTTTATTTATTTGACAGAGAGCGAGAGAGAATGAGCATGAATCAGGTGAAGGGCAGAGGGAGAAGCAGACTCCCTGCCAAGCAGGGAGCCTGATGCAGGGCTCAATCCTGGGACTCCAGGATCATAACCTGAGTGGAAGGCAGACGCCTAACCGACTGAGCCACCCAGGCGCCCCAATGGTGGACATACCTTAATTAAAAATACTTTGTTACTGAAAAATATTAACCATCATCTGAACTTTCAGTGGGTCATAATCACTGATTACAGATCCCCATAATACATATAATAATAATGAGAAGGTTGGAAATTTTGTGAGAATGACCAAAATGTGACAGAGACACGAAGGGAGCAAGTGCTGTTGAAAAATGTCACTGACTGACTTGCCCGATGCAGCGTTGCCACAAATGTTCAATCTGTAAAAATTGCAGTATCTCTGAAACAAAATAAAATGAAGCACGATAAGATGAGGTATTCCTGTATTTCACTTAGAGTAATGCCCTCAAGCTCACAAATGGCAGGATGTCCTTCTTTCTCATGACTGAATACTATCCCATTCCGTACACATGACACATTTTCTTTATCTGTTCATCTGTCGATGGACAGTTAGATTGTTTCTGTGTCTTGGCTACTGTGAATAATGCTGTAAGGAACACGGCAGATACTCCTGCAACATCGTGATTTTATTTCCTTTGGATATATACCAAGAAGTGGGATGGCTGTGTCGTATGGTAGTTTTATTTCTAAGTGTTTTTGAAAAAACTCCATACTGTTTTCCATAGTGGCTGTAGTTAGCAGATTTCTTTGCTGCCGTTTACTTCTCCGGCCTTTACTTGGTAATGTACATTGTGAATTTCTGAGACAGGGATATCCTAGGTACTGCTTCCCATATGTACTTGATTCTCTAAATCCTTTTTTTCACAGTGCGTTGCGAGGGACCACTGTTTTCTAGGACACACTTTGGGGGAATGTAGGAATCATCTTCCTCTTTGTGTCTTTTGTTTTTCAAAGAAACCCCAATTTTTCATATCTTAACTTTGGACCTGGAATTCCAGTGAGCTCCCATTTAAGTGGTGTCCTGACCTCCCTACCTGTCTACATCAGAACTCATCAGAATTTACTTCCTAATGACACATAGGCTCTATGTGAGTAGTTTTAGTGGTTTTTTTCTTTTAAGAAGGTGTTAAAATTCTGGTGGCCTCCAAAAATATAATACAATTATAATTGTATCATTAATAAGATAATTATAATATATAATTATATAATAAAAGGGCTGTCCCATCAATGATAATATAATATAATATAATATGTAATAATATAAGGCTTCCCACCCTCCCCCTCCCCCTACTGGACACGCTCTGGATTTATGCAGTTCTGCATCAAGGGGTTTCAGATGCCAATCTTTGTGCACCCAGCAAAGTGCACACAGGTGCCATGGGGGGTAAGTGGGATGTCCACGTTCAGATGCAGCATACTGTCCCATGGCTCAGTGGCTCCGTCCTGTTACTATCAGCCTTCTGACTCCTCATGCAAGTCAGTCTCATTCATTATTCTGGAGTATCTTTCTAATGCTGAGCCACATTTCAAGAACCGGAAAACAAAAACAAACAAAAAAATCCAACAACAAAAACCAAAAACAGTTTCTTCCCTGGGGAAAGAATATCTTCTTCTATGACATATAGCATATGTATTCTATACAGCACCCTTTCTCCTTCCTTTCCCTCAGGAACTGGATGCCTTTCAGCCCTACCCTGTTGAAATCATCCCAGGCAAGATCTACCTGGGCAATTTCAGGCAAGCCTGCGACCCGAAAATTCAGAAGGATTTGAAAATCAAAGCACATGTCAATGTCTCCATGGAGACAGGGCCATTGTGAGTAGAAATACTATTGATTTTTTTTTAAATTAAGCATTTATATAAGATTCCTAGTGCCATGCATTTATAGAGCTGAAAGGGCCTTAGAAATCAACACACACTGGAATAGGCTCTGTACTTACCTTCAGCTGTTCCTGGTTTGTAGTCTATTTCCTGGCTTGGCCGTGGCATCCTCTGCCACTGAGACCCAATACTTGCCCTTCAGATCTTACCACTAGGAATGCTTTCCTAGTATTTAACATTATGGTATGGAGTATTCCATTTTACCCTGCTTCTCAGGCCCTCTGAGAAGTGACCCCTCTCTTAGCCCATTGGGGCTGCTCTAGCAGAATACCATAGACCAGTGGTTCATAAACAGAATACATTTCTTTCTCATGGGTGTGCAGGCTGGGAAAATCCAAGCTCAAGTCACTAGCAGACTCAGTGTCCAGTGAGAGCCTGCTTTCTGGCTCATAGACAGCCCTATTTTTACTGCGTCCTCTCATGGCAGAAGATCACCTTCTGGCCCCTCTTTTACAAGGGCATTAATCCCATCTCTTAGGACTCCACCCCATGACCCAGTTTACAATTCCACTTTAAATGACCCCCAAATCCCAGACAAAACCTTAAAACAGGGGTTTCCAGACAATGGCCAATAGGCAGCATAGGACATTGATTCCTGAGAGGAGGGAGAAAAAAAAAAGCAAGATGAGCCCCTCAGTTGACCCAGCTTATTAGTAGGAGACTGTTTGCAGGTCATAGTACAGGAAGCAGGCCAAGACAGATCCTGTCATTCCTTCTGAGTTGAGCGTATAGAGTTGAGAAGTCAGAGAGGTCAAGTTGGCTGGAATTTGCAGGAGAGAGTAGCATGGAGAATAGAGAATGGAGAGCTGAATATAAAGAAAAAGCTCTTAACATCTGCAGAGTCCCCCCCCCCCCACCTGAGTCTTCAGCTGAGTACTGATAAGCACGTACATGTGAGGAAACGAGTCAAGGCTGGGAGAAAAACCAGTAGAAATGAGCACACAGTACAACCCCAGAGATCATGTAGGGCCAAGAGTAGTTTGCATTTCCAATCAGAGTAGACAAAACTCACAACATACTGGGCCTCAAAGAGGGCACTGAGAAAAGTGTTGCTTCAGTTGTGAGGAAAAACTAGCTCTAGGCTAGGGATGAGGGTGTCTGAAGTGAAACATACATTGGATGGATTTAAAGGCAGATTAAACACTGCAGAAGAAAAGATTGGTGAATTAAACACTGCAGAAGAAAAGATTGGTGAATTTGAAGACACATTGGTAGAAAGTGTCCAACATGGAACCCAGGGAAGGAAAAGATTAAAGAAAGACCAGAACAGAAACATGTATAAGTTGGAATCTCCAAAGAAGAGGAAAGTGGAAAGACAGAAAACATATTTAAAGAAGTAACAGCCAAAATTTTTTTTCTAAATTTGATAAGAACCATAAAGTTTATCACCAGAAATAATTATGTAGATAAATATAAAACACTTTCGCTGTCACTTTTATCTCTTCAAAACATAATTTATCACATGGGCTGCCTGGGTGGCTCTGTCAGTTAAAGCATCTGACTCCTGATTTTGACTCAGGTCGTGATCTCAGGTTCATGAGATTGAGCCCTGTGTTGGGCTTGTGCTGAGCCTGGAGCCTGCTTAAGATTCTCTCTCTCCCTCTCCCTCTGCCCCCCACCCTCTAAAACAACAAAAACAAACAAGACAAAAAAATGAAAAAAAAATAATTGATCACAGAAAAAATAGTAACAATGTATTTTGAGATTATAACATATGTAGAAGTAACATGTATGCCCATAGTTTACTAAGGCGGGAAGAGGCAGAATGGAAGTATACACTTGGAAGATTCTTACTCTATTTACATGAAGTGTTATAATGTAATAAAAAGTTAAAGATGTGTTCTAGAAACTCTAAAGCAATTACCAAAAGCTAGAACAAAACAAAAAATAACAGTTATCAGTAATAAGACAAAGAAAAAAATGGAATCATAAAAAATCCAAAAGAAGGCAGGAAAAGAGGAACAGAGATGAGGCCAATAGAAAACAAATAGCAAGGTGATCATGTCAATAATCATACTAAGTGCAAATGGTCTAAATACCCCCAATTTAAAGGCAGAGGTGTAGTAGGCTATTTACAAGAAACATACTTTATTTTTTTTTAGGTTTATTTATTGAAGTAATCTCTGCACCCGGAGTGACGTGGGGCTTGACCCCATGACCTTCAGATCATGAGTTGTATGCTTCTCTGACTGAGCCAGCCAGGTGCCCCAGAAACATACTTTTTAAATACAAAATGAAGATAGGTTAGAATGGATGGAAAAAGATACTTCAGGCTATGACTAATTAAAAAAAGAAACACACCAACTTTTGGAATGACTCCATTATTAGATGAATTGAACTTCATAGCAAAGAATACTACTGGATATAAAGAGGGTCATTTCATTATGGGAAGATGATCAATTGATCTAGACTCTAGATTCTAGAGAAATCCACAGTTATAATCAGATTTCAACATCTCTCTCTCAACAGACAGAAAATAGGCTATAATTTCAAAGAGTAGAAGAGCAAAATTGCCTAATTGACAATTATAGAACACTCTGGCCAATAATAGTAGCGTTCTTCTGGTCTTTGAATGTATTCTACAGTATACATTCTTTTTAAGAGAACATGGAACATTTTTGACAAGATAGACTATTCTGGGCACTAAAACAAGTATCAAAAATAATTTATAAAGAATTATGTTCTCTGACTACAGTGGAATTAAGTTAGAAGCCAGTAAACCAAACAAGATATCTGGGAAGAATTCCAGATGCTTGGAAACTAAGTAAAACACTTCTAAGTAGCCTGTGGGTTGCAAAGAAACCAAAAAGGAAGTTAGAAAGTATTTTGAACTGAATGAAAATAAAAACCCCACATATCAAAATTTGTGGATGCAGCTAAAGCAGTGCATAGAGGGAAATTTATAGCCTAAATGCCTATATTAGAGTCTCAGATCAAATCAAGACCTAAACTTTCACCTTAAAAAAATTAGAAATCATAAGAAGGAGGAAGGAAGGAAATTATAATGATAAGAGCAGAAATAAGTGAAATAGAAAACAAAACAATCTGAGAAACACAATGAAAACAAAAGTTGGCTCTCTGAAAAGAGCAATACTGGGGCGCCTGGGTGGCTCGGTCATTAAGCATCTGCCTTTGGCTCAGGTCATGATCCCAGGGTCCTGGGATAGAGGCCCACATCGGGCTCTCTGCTTGCCGGGAAGACTGCTTCTCCCTCTCCCACTCCCCCTGCTTGTGTCCCCCCCCCCAAATAAATAAAATCTTAAAGTACTATTGCTAACCTATGCCAAACTGATCAAAAAAGAAGAGAAGACAAAAATTATCCATGTTAGGTGTAAAAGAAGGTATATTTTCATTACAGATCCTACAGATATTAAAAGACATTCTCTGGGCACTTACCCCACAGAAGTGAAAACTTAAATTCACATAAAACCTGTACATGAATGTCTGCAGTGGCTATTCAGCTGGTGAATGGTTAGACAAACTGTGGTATACACATACCATGGAATACTACTCAGCAATAAAAAGAATGAACTATTGACATATGCAACAACTTGGGTAAATCTCTAGGGAATTAACACAGCCAATAATAAATAAGAAGAAGAAGGCAGCAGTCCCAAAAGTTTAGATATTATGTGGTTCCACTTAAATAGCATTTTTTATATCACAAAATTTTATAAATGACAGATTAGTGGTTACCAAAAGTTGGGGAAGTTAGAGGGTAGGGGGTATGGTTACAAAAGGGCAACATGAGGCATTTTTGGTGTTAGAACTGTTCAGTATTTTGACTGGTGGTGGACATGAATCCACCCAGGTGATAAATTTTTATAGAACTTCTTACACACACACACACACACACACACACACACATGCACGCACGCATGCATGCACGCATTCCCAAAATACAAGCAAAACTGGGGAAATCAGAATACAATTGATAGGTTGTATCAGCATCAATATACTGATTGTGCTATTACAGTTTTGCAGAATGTTACCATTGGGGAAACGAGGCAAAGTGTACAGTGGATCTCTCTGTATTTCTTACAACCGCATGTGAATCTACAGTGATCTCAGTAAAATTTTTAATTAAAAATTTAAAAATAATTAGGAAATATTAGGAGTTATTTTATGCCAATGCATTTGAAATTTAAATTAAATGAACCAATTCCTTGAAAGACTCAAGCTATCAGTGCTCACTTAACAAGAAATGGGTCATCTGAATAGCCCCATATCTATTAAAGAAATTGAATTCATAGTTAAAAAACCTTTTCACAAAGAGGACTCTAGGCCCGTATGGCTTCACTGGTGAGTTCTGCTGAACATTTAAGGAAGAAATAATACCTGATCTGCACAGTCTTCCAGAAAATAAAAGAGGGGACACTTTCCTATTCATTTATGAGACCATCATTACTCTGATACCCAAAACTGACAAAGACTTTATAATAAAACGACAAACCTCATGAACATAGGTATAAAAATTCTTGATAAAATTTTAGCAAATTTGACCCAAAAATATATAAAAGGGATTTGATCCAGAAATATATAAAAGGATCCAAAATTTTTGCAAATTTGACCCAAAAATATATAAAGAGAAATGCATGACCGAATGTATTTCTTCCAGGAAGGTCAGTTTGGTTCAACATTAGAAAAATCAATGTAATTTACCATATTAACAGACTAGAAAAGAAGAAAACTTAAATTATCTTCAGAAGAGAGACAGAAAAATGGCACCCTGCAACTGCTGAATCTGTATTTTTTAAAACGTTTACAGGGAGGGGGACGCCTAGGTGACTCAGTAGGTTGAGCATCCGACTCTTGATTTCGGTTCAGGTCATGATCTCGGGGGAGGGGGTGGTGGTGGTGGTGATGGGATCAAACCCTGGATCGGGCTCCCTCAGTGGGGAGTCTGCTTCTCTCCCTCTCTCTCTGCCCCTCCCGCCACTTCCATGTTCTCTCTCAGATAAATAAAATCTTTAAAAAAAAGTTTACATGGAGGGAGCATTTATAAAACTCGATCCCAGGACCCTGGGATCATGACTTGAGCCAAAGGCAGACGCTTAATGACTGAGCCACCCAGGTGCCCCATACGTTCATGATTTAAAGAAAAACTCCAAGCAACTGGAAATCGAGGGGAATTTTGATCTAATGAAAAAAAAAATCTATGCAAATCTCTACAGCAAACATCACATTTAATGATAAAATATTGGAAATTGTTCCTCTGAGTCTGGGAACAAGGCAAAGGCGCAGCTATCACTAGTATTTAACACTGTACTAGAGGCCCTAGTTAGTGAATATGACAAGAAAAAGAAGATAGGAATTGAAAGGGAAAAATACTTTATGCAGGCAATATAGTTATATAAGCAGAAAAGCTGAAACAAGCTCCAGAGAGATTATTAGACTTAAGTTTGCTGGGTTCAAGAAATACACAGACGTCAATTGTTTTTCTGCACACAAACGAGAAACAAACTGAAGATTTAAAAACATACAATAGCATAAAAATATTAAATACCTAGGATTATACCTAATTAAGGATGTGTAAGCTCTCACCAGAAAATTACACAGCATGGCTGGGAATTATTAAGACTACCTGAGTAAACAGAAGGTGTTACTTTATTTTTAATTAAAAACATTTTTTTTAATTAAAAACATTTTTAAGTAACCTCTGTACCCAGTGTGGGGCTTGAACTCACAACCCCAAGATCAAGAGTCACATGCTCTACTGTGACTGGAGCCAGCCAGGCGCTCCACAGAAGATGTTATTTTAAATTACCTGAATAAACAGAGGATGTACTGTGGTTATGGATTAGAAGCATCCATTTTGTAAAGATCTTGGTTCTTGTCCAATTGATCTATAGATTCAGTGTAATGCCCATAAAATTCCAGTAGGTTTTAGAGTAATGCTAAAATTTATATGGAAATGCAAAGGCCAAAAATAGCTGAATATCAAAGAACAACAAATAGGATACTTGCTTGACCAGGTACCAAGTCTTAAAAAACAAGAAAGGCATTGTGATATTGGTACAGGATAGAAGAATACACCAATGGAGCAGAATAGAGTCCAAGCAGACCCATGCCTATACAGACGCTTGAATTTTGACAAAGATTTTCTCCTATGTTTTCTGCTAAAAGTTTTATGGTTTTAACTTTAAGAATTTGTGATCCATTTTGAAATAATCCTTGCATATGGTGCCAGATGTAGAAGGTTTTCCATATGGAAGCCATTATTTGTTGGGGGGGAAAAAAAGATCCTTTCCCTTTGACTGATTAGATACCTTTGCTGGAAATCAGTTGACCATATGTGTGTGGTATTATAACTGGATTTTTAATTCTTTTTTATTGGCTTGTGTTTTTCTTTATATCCATCTGTATTTTTGACTACTATAGCTTTATAAGAAATCGTGAAGTCAGGTAGAGCCAGTCCTCCCCTTTTGTTCTTTTTCAAACTTGTCTCCTTTGCATTTCCAATAAATTTTGGAATCACCTTGTAGGTCTCTACAGAAAACCTGCTGGAATTTTGACTGGGATAGAACTGAATCCATAGGCCAGTTTGGGGAGAACTGACATCTTACCAATGTTGAGTCTCCTGATCATGAACAGGGGTCTATCCCTCCATTTACTTTGCTCTTTCATTTCTCTAAAAAATGCTTTATAGTTTCCAGTGTACAGGTCTTGCACATCTTGTGTCAGATTTCTTCCCAAGTATTTGGTATTTTTGAGGTGGTTATAAATGGTATTTTTAAAATTTCACTTTCTGATTGTTTGTTGCTAGTGTATAGAAATGCAGTTGATTTTTATATAGTAACCTTCTCTCCTTCCACCTTCTCCATCTAGATGCCTCCTACATTGTGAAGCTTTTCCCAGCTCCCTCAACTTCTCCCTGCCCTTCCTCTCCAGTATCACATGCAGGTCTTTATCCCCAAATCTAGCCAGTTGGATTGGGGTTATTTGTTTCTGTGTCTGCCTCCCCCATCAGACTGGGAGCTCCTTGAAGCTGGGAGAGGCTGGCCCTCTTTGGTTCAGCTTCTGTCCACTAGGGTCCAGCCCAAGGTCTGGCACACAATAGGCATTGAGGAAAGAATGAATAGATGGATGGATGGATAGATGGGGGAGGGGGAGAGAGAGAGAGAGACAGAGAGAGAGACAGAGAGAGAGAGAAATGGGGAAGAAAGGATGGATGGACAGATGGAGGGATGGGCATTGTGCTTGATCTGCTGAAACTAAACCAGCCTCCCTTTATTTCTGAATCTACTGCAGCTTCCTGCATGCTACAGTGGTCTACATGCTGCCCAATGTCATCAGTAGACCACAGTCTTCATAATTAACATTGCCCAAGTACTTAATGCATGCCAAATGTTTTGCAGGCTCCTTGCAGGCATCTTCTACCTCCTGGCCGTCCCCTCTCTGCCTTGTTCGGGATGTTCTAGCCACTCTTACCTCTCTGTTGTTTCTCAAGTCCATTAAACATACTGCCTCTCAGCACCTTTGCACTTGTGTTCTCCCCTACCCAGAACCCTCTTTCCTCAGATGGCTGCCTGGCTTGTTCCGTTACCTCCTTGAAGCCTCTGCTCAAAGCCTTCGCTGACCACTGTGTCTCAGACAGCCACCCGCCCTGCTCCACTCTCCATCTCTCTTACCTGGCTTTCTCCATTTAATGTAGCAGGCTCATTCTCCAAGCTCATTACATATTCCTGCCCATCCTCATCTGACTTTCCGCACCATACTCTAGGAAAGTACCATGAGTGGTTAATGATAATGATGTCACATTTATTGAGCATTTACTATGTGCCAAGCAGATTGCCAAATGCTTTCCATAGATGAACTGATTTAATCTGCACAACACCCCCATGAAGCGGGTGCTTGTTTTCTGAGACAGGCTCAGTTATTTGCCACCTCTCCCTGAAGCCCACTCAGCATTGCTGCAATGTGGTCCCACTTCTGTGCACAAGGCTCATTCCAGGGGGGCTGTGTGCCAGTCTGCCTGATTTCCTGGGCTTTCCTTCTGTTTAGTTTTGTAGATGACAGTGACAAACTTCTGCACATCAAGATTGAAGATTCCCTGGAAGCCAACATTTTCCCCTTTTTACGGCACCTCTGTCACTTCCTCGGTAAGGAGCAATCTCTGATTAGGCAGCGGTTGGCCTGTGCCCAGGGGCCAGAGAGGCTGTGGCACCTTGTCTACACGGCTGTTCCTGATCAGGACAGCCAGCACTGAGGAGAGGAAGGGCAGGGCCCAGCACAAGCCCAGCCAGGGGTGGCCAAGCCCCAGGACAAGCTCAGCCCTCAGGAGCCCTTGGCCATGTGGACAGCCACACATTTACCTCTGGGGACATGGGGCCAAATAAGAGCACCAGATTGTCGATTGAGTACCCCATGTTGTGGCCCTGGCTGAACCACTAGGACCTCTGGGGGCTGACCAAGCCCCAGTCCTGGCCTCGCTGAGCCTCTTGGGCAATGGGCGGGTTGACCCACCATGGGTGCAGGCGTTCAGGGACGCCTGCTCTGGGCTGGGCTCTGGGGACCCGCAGGCGAATCGTGCTCCATCTCTTCCCTACTGTCTGGTCTGCAGGGTGGGGTGGAAGGAAAACTCTGGAACCCTCCCAGCCCTGACTTCCATGATCCCTGGTTGTGTGCACAGCACCCTTTCGGCTCTCCCACCACACATGGCAGTGACTGCTCATTGAAGGTGGAATTTTCAGTCATTCTGGGGCCAGGATTGCCCAAGGAGAGCAAGATGGGCTGGAGAGAGTGAGGTTGAGTTGGGTCCACACCAATGCAGCCCCAGCTTGAGGGGCTGCACAGGAGGCTGGAAGATGACATGTTGGCCCAAACATCCCTTATTTGCCCAAGAGGTTGCAACTATCACTTGACTAGTATCTGAGATTGTGACTTGCCACGTGTCCGGCCACGGGATGGCAGAGCCCTGTGGCACAGAGGGCCCCTATCCAGCCCTACCTTGCTGGGTAGCTCTGGGCCAGTCCTTAACTGCTCTGTACCTCTGTTTCCTTGTCCATATGATGAGGCACTTGGCCTTCATCATCTCGGAGTCCTCCTCCAGTGCTGATAGTCTGTGATTTCACGTTTGATATGTTTATCTCCAGTTTTTTTTTTTTTTAAGATCTTATTTATTTTTGAGAGCAAGAGTGAGAGAGTGCACAAGTTGGGGTCAGGGGAAGGACAGAGGGAGAAGCAGGCTCTGAGCCCAATATGGGTCTCGATCCCAGGACCCTGGGACCATGACCCAAGCCGAAGGCAGACACCCAACCGACTGAGCCACCCAGGTGCCCTGATATGTTTATCTCCAGTTCTTAGGGGTGACCGGGCTAGCTTAGGAAGCCAGCTTAGATTTCCTCCCATCTCTGTCGGCATCCAAGTGGCTGGGAGTCGGGTGGGGGGAGCATCTTCTCGTCCCACCTGGGGAGGCCAACTGGTAGTAGAGCTTCGTGGGCTGGCAGCCTGGGGAGCCAAAAAAAGGCCTTTGCAGGGTAATGCTGAACACCCAATGTGATTCTCTTGGACTGCCAGTGAGGTCTGAGGGTCCCTGTTTGCCAGGTGACAAAACGGTGTCCTAGAGAGGTCACGGGACTAGCCCAGGACATGGTGGGCTGGGTCCGAACTCACTCCTGGCCCATGGGCCCACTGAAGCCAGCAACTCACATCCCATGTGCCCCACTGCCCCCTCCCCACACCTTTCCTTCCTCTTGCAGAAATTCACCTCCGGCTTGGCTCGGTCATCCTGGTCTTTTCCACCCTGGGCATCAGTCGCAGCTGTGCGGCCGCCTTGGCCTTCCTCATGCACTGGAAGGAGCAGACCTTGAAGGTATGCATTGCCCGGTCAAGGCTCAGACTGCAGCTACCTCCAGCAGGCAGGGTCAGAGCTGGACCTGGGAGGAAGGGGGCCCTAACTGGGGGGTGGGAGGAGAAGGATCTGGAAAGGGAACTCCCAAGTCCAGTGCTTCACCCAGCATACCACACCCAAGGGCAAGGTCCCAAAGATCTGGGTCAGAGGCTGAGGCTGTTGCATGGCCTATGGGACAGGCCCAGGGACTCAGGCTGGGCAAGGCCACGGCCAGCAGCACCATCCGCGTGTCCCCCTCTGCTATCAATCTCTCTACCAGCGTTCATTCAGGCTTCTCAATGGAGGCGCATTTTGGTTATTGCTTGGAGCCAGAGAACTACGACCCTGTCAGGGCTCCAAGGGCACCTACTCCAACAGTCTTGACCGGGACCGGAGAAGGGGGTGGAGACCTGTCACCGCAAACCCCGTTCGACCAGCGCTTGTGAGGCCGAGGGCAGTGCCTTCCCACAGCACGAGGAGATGGCGGCCTGCCCCGAGGGGAGGCACAGCTTTTGCATGACTTCAGAGGGCTTCGGTGGGACCCGAAAAGCTCCCAAGTATGCCCAGGGCTGTGCTTGAAGGAAGGGGGGAGGGTCAGAGAATGACCATGGTCAGAGCCCATTGCCAGCGGTTTAGGATGTTGGCTCCACATGCTCTTTGGGGGTGAAATTGCCAGCTAGAAAGAGTCTCGGGTAGCCAGCAGTTCCACCTGTAGGAGTGGAAGCCAGGGCTCAGATGTTTTTTTTGTTTTTGTTTTTTTTTTAAATAAAAATAAAGCGGACTTTATTTAGAAGATAAAGGTGGTGGTATCAGTTTTGGTTAATAAAGTTGGGCTCAAGTGTTTTAACAGGTCTTTAATGCCATCACAGACTGGCATGCCAAGGGCATTCTGAATGCCAATTACAGACTGAAGTTTCAAAACCAAGATGCTATCAAAAGCTGATGGAGTTGAGATTTCTCTTAAAAGTCGGACTAACACACTTCTTAAATATCAGAGTGACTGGATTACTTGGTTCTGAAAGTGAAAATACTACACTGAGCAATCCCCCTCCCTTTCTCCACAAGTCCCTAAGGCAATATTACAGTTGCCTCTGACAATCAAAATTTCAACATTTCAACGGAGGGGAGCTGAGGGGAACCGGGAAAATGAAAAGCGAAATCACGAAGTGTAATTGTAATTGATACAGGCAGCTGCCACTTGTGGTAGACCAAAGCCTAGTCCGATGCCCCTTTTCCTCGCATCTGCATGACCTCTTCCCAAGCGGACGGTAACTACGTTCTTGAAGGAATGTGCCAAGACTAGGGTGGGGAAGGCCCAGACAGTGAGTGGACAGAATGCATTTTGCATCCAGTTGCCTTGGGTGGTACAATTAAAGACAAATACCCAGACTCTGGAAAGCCCACTAGCCAAAGGTAACTGGGAGAGAGAATTAAATGCATAACCAGTGTAGAACGCCTGCAAGGCACCAAGACCACAGTCCGACCAGCCCACTTTCCGCCTCCATCACTGAATGGATCTGGGAGAAAGCATTACAGGGCTCAGATGTTTGTGGGGCCGTGTTCGGAGCAGCATTACTCACCATAGCCAACAGGTGGGAGTAACCCATCTGTCCATCGACAGATGAAAGGATAGTAAACGAATGGTCTGTCCACACAATGGACTGTTACTCAGCCTTGCCAAGGAAGGACATTTTGACACCTGCTGCCACATGGATGAACCCAGAGGACATTATGCTGCGGGAATGGGGAGTTGTTTCATGGAGTTCAAAGTTCTGGAGATGGATGGTGTTGACGGTCATACAACATGGTGAATGTACTTCTTGCCATTGAACCGCACCTCCAAACATGGTGAAAATGGGAAGTTCTCTGTTACGTTTGTTTTACCACAATTGAAAAAGAAAAGTGTCTGGAGGCAGAATCACGGGGCCTGGAGCGAGAGGCCCAGAACCCTGTTCTCTCACCCTGTGCAAGGTGAATTGTCAGGGATCCTTGCCCGCTTGAGTATTTTGGGGTGTGCTGGGGGAAAGGGGGTGAAGTTTCTCATAAATCTGGGGAGGGAGGCCTCTGCTGTTGCTCCTATAGAGATGTCTCTCCAGCCGCCTTCCCAGGAATGGGTTCAGGCCTGCAAGGAACCTTCTTCGCTGCCTTGTTGAGCTGGAACATAGAGAAAGAGAAGACGGGGAGCTGGGGGAAGGCAGGCCGAGCCCTCTGCCTGCAGGGGGCGTTACGGGACTCGAGGTCCCCTGGAGCTTGCATGGGGCCATTTGGAGACCTGGCCTGTGGTGGTCCTGGCTTCCTGATCGCTCACAGTGAGGTTTGGGCACAAAAAGGTTGATAGCCTTGTGACTCTGATGTTTCGTGATGCTTCCCAGCCCTGACCAGCAAGTCACAGTCGTCTCTTTGTTCATATCACAGGCAGATGACAAGCTGCTTCCCCAGCTGGCTGGGGGGAGAACATAGAGAGGACTCCCACCTGGCTCCTCTGAGTTCTCCAGCAGTGAGGGCCAGGCCCCCTCAGCGACGGGGCACGTGTAGGCCCACACCCTGACCTTTACTGGCCCCTGCATGACTCCAGCAGGGAGGGTGAGGCCTGTCTGGGTGTAGCTGTCCCTGTCAGTGGTCAGTGGGTGGACAGGTGCTTGGGCCCCTGAGGGCCAGATTGCCCTTGCTCTCGGCAGAAGCCCTGGGGCTCCCATCCTGGGGCAGCAATCTCTGTCTCATGTATAGGGAAGTCCCGTTGCTGGGCATTGTGTCCTGAGATGCCATCTAGATAAGTCTCGGCAAAAGCAGCTGTGGGCAGGAAGGACTGCCACCGGGACCTTGCTGGGTCCTTTCCAGACTGAGTCAGTCCTGTGTGGTCGTTAGGTTTTCTTGCTACCAAGCAATGCCCTGGATTGCTGATAAGAGGTTGACCTGGGCTCAGCTCTGCTGCTGCCTGGGGTCCAGAGAGACATTCCCTCATCCCATTGTCTTTGTGGTCCTGGGGTCCTCCTCCGCGCATTGGGGCAGCTGTGCCCCTGGCTGTTGTCAATGGTGATGGTCAGAGCCCATGGGACTGGCAAAAGGGTGTGGGCCACTCTTGGGCAATAGACTGCTTCCTGGGGCTTATGGTCCCAACTCAGTCCCTTGGGGGTACCAAGACCAGGAATGGGAAGTTGAGGAGTGAACTGGGAAGAATCTGGTATCCAGGGCCACCCTGTCTGCCCTTGGCTTTCAAAGCTTTGGCACAAGGTCGTATGGGCTCCCAGAGCCAGCGAGCCCTTAAGAAACCTATTTCAGTTCCTTTAAACTACTGGGAGTAACTTTGTCCCTGCTTGTGTTCCCTCTCTCACTGTGTCTCTCTCTGTCAAGTAAACAAATGACATCTTTAAAAAAAAAAAAAAAATCTTCCGAGGAAAAAAAAGAACAAAATCGCAAACCAACTCCTGAGGTATTATAATAGCTAACATTGGCAGAATGCTTCCCACATGCCTTTGTGAATACTTTATGTGTGATGAAAACACAGTGACCCTGCAGCATGTTATTAACCCCGTTGTGCAGGAGGCTTATAGAGGCTGAGTAATTTGCCCAAGGCCCCATATCTGTAAGTGGCAGAGTTGGAATCCAAAGCCACATGACCCAATTTTGGAATCTGGGCTTTCCACAGGGCCCTAAGGCAGCAGGGAAAGCACAGGCCTTGAGTCTGAAGAATGGGGCTGTGGGCTAGCTGCTTCCCCTTACCAAGAGTTACCTGGCCATGACCCTTTCCCCTTCTAACCCACTGGTGTTTGCTGTGAGTCCCAGCAGATGCTTTGTGGGCCAGAAAGGGGTTGTGAGCAGAGAGCATGGGGGGCTATGGTTATGGTTTGTCCTCAAGGGCCCAATCTGACCTGACCAGGACTTAGTAAACCTTATAACTACATAGCTCCCCCCAGGGTACCATGGATTTTTTTTTTTCATAATGGTAAAATGCACATAACACAAAATTTACCATCTCTGTCATTTTTAATTACACACAATTCAGCAGTGTTAAATACAATCACATTGTTGTGCAACCCATCTCCAGAATTCTTTTCATCTTGCAAAACTGAAACTCTATATCCATTAAATAACATCTCCCCATTCCCCTCTTTTCCCAGCCCCTGGCAACTACCATGCTACCTCCTGTATCTATAAATTTGACTATTCTAGGTACCTCACATAAATGAAATCATACAGTATTTGTCCTTTTGTGACTGGCTTATTTCACTTAGCATAATATCCTTAAGGTTCATTCATGTTATAGCATGTGTTCAAATTTCCCTGCTTTTTTTTTTTAAGATTTTTTTTTTTTTAATTTGACAGAGACACAGCGAGAGAGGGAACACAGCAGAAGGAGTGGGGGAAGGAGAAGCAGGCTTCCTGCTGAGCAGGGAGCCTGATGCAGGGCTCGATCCCAGGACACTGGGATCATGACCTGAGCCGAAGGCAGATGCTTAATGACTGAGCCACCCAGACACCCCAAATTTCCTTACTTTTTAAGGTTGAATCATATTCTGTTGTATGTAGTATTTAGCAGTGAGTCCATCTTGGCCTGGTGCTTTCTCTTTTGGAAGATAATTTTTTTTTAATTTATTGATTCAATTTCTTTATTTTATTTATTTATTTGACAGAGAGAGAGAGAGAGAGAGAGAGAGAGAGAGAGAGAGAGCAGGAACACAAGCAGGGGGAGTGGGAGAGGGAGAAGCAGGCTTCCCATCGAGCAGGGAGCCCAATGCGGGATTTGATCTCAGGACCCTGAGATCATGACCCGAGGTGAAAGCGGGCGCTTAATGACTGAGCTACCCAGGTGCCCCTGATTCAATTTCTTTAATAGATATAGGCCTATTCAGATTGTGTGATTTTGTGTCAGTTTTGGCAGATTGTGTCTTGCAAGAAATTGGTCTATTTCATCTAGATTCTATGTGGACATAGAGTTGTTCATAGTATTCCTTTATTATCCTTTTAATGTCCATGGGCTCTGTACTGATGTCTCATTTTTCATTTCTGATATTAATAATTTGTATCTTCTTTCCTTTTCTTAGTAGCCTGGCTAGAGGCATATCAATTTTGCAGATTTTTTTTTTCCAAAGAACCAACTTTTGGTTTCATTGATTTTTTTCTGTTGATTTTCTGTTTTCAATGTCATTGATATCTGCTTTAATTTTTAAGGATTTTATTTATTTTTGAGAGAGAGTGGGGGGAGGAGCAGAGGGAGAGGGAGAGAGAGAATCTCAAGCAGTCTCCCCACTGAGCACAGAGCCCAATATGAGGCTCAATCCCACAACCCTGAGATCATGACCTGAGCCAAAACCAAGAGTTGGAAGTTCAACTGACTGAGCCACCCAGGCACCCCTGTTTTAATTTTTATTATTTCTTTTTTTTGACTTATCTTGGGCTTAATTTACTCTTTTATTTTTCATTTCCCAAGAGGGAAGCTGAGATGATTGATTTAGATGAACATTCATCTTGGTGAATATTCTATTTGAGTGTGAGAAGAATGTGTGTTCTGTTATTGGATGGGATATTTCTATAGATGTCAGTTATATTGAGTTAATTAATGATGCTGTTGGGTTCAGCTATGGTCATCCTGATTTTCTGCCTGTTCTATCTGTCCATTACTGATAGAGAGGTGACAAAGTCTCTGTGACAGTGGATTCATCGATTTCTCCTTGCAATTCCATCAGTTT